ATGAGAGTTAGATTAACATGCTTGTTCGATTTTCTGATTTAAAATCATGCAAGTTAGGCTGTGAGCACTGAGAGTTTTCCTTTTTTGGGTTCGAGAAATGGTCCAATTTTGAAAAATGGAATACTTTTCGAGAAAATCAGTCAACCTCTGTAAAAATTTTCAAAAACTATTTTTGCAAACGGCCAATGCTCAACAAGCACGGAACCTACTCTTGAGATGCACAACCTCAGATCCGAAGGAAAATTGCCCCTTGCTTGAAGAGAGCTGCACGGCAACGGAAAGTTGCCCCTTCTTTGAATAGCACCAGGGTACACTGTATGGCAACGGAAAGTTGCCCCTTGTTTGGATAGCATCGCAGCGCATTGTAATCAGTCCTCAGAGTGACGATAACAACCGAACTCTCGGATACAGAGAAGGCAAAGATGATCAAAACCATTACATGGACACAGTTGATTTTGAAGTGTTTTACGGCTGGACTTCGGAATGAAGTTGCCTACGTATCCCAAAGATGGGAATCAAGCCTTATGTAGTTTGGGGTTAAGGTATACTCGGGTATTTAACCTCTCCTTTTGCGCTCTAACTTTTGTGAAGGCCGCCCTTCCGGGTTTTCAACCTTGCGAGCTTTGTTCTTCTTTTCTTTTCAATTCTTTTCATTTTTTTTATCTTTTCTTTTCTTTCTTTTTTTTCTCTCCTTTTTTTTTTCTTTTTTTCCCTTTTTTTTTTTTTGTTGTAAACAAACAGTTCATTTCTTAATTCATTTTTCGAATACAGTGAAGATTTACTAACATTGGCAAAATAAGTACTTACCACTTGAGGAACAAATGTTACATGTGTATTTTTCTTTAGAAAAATGCTTCGGACCCCCACTGGGGGTCGACCCCCAGTGAGGTGGCGCATCGTGATTGGACAAAAAAAAAATTGTTTTATTTATTTATTTTGAGTTTCAGCCAGTGGAGACTCGCCATCTCACTGGGGGTGCGACCCCCAGTGGGGTCTGCAGCAATACTCTTTTCTTTATCATCATTTTTATACTATTGCGTTTTTTATATTTTATTTTTTTGAATTGCGTGTGCAGCTGACTAGTGAATAAATAAACAAAACAAAAAAAGTATCGCTCCAAATACCTTGGTCTATAGGTATTCTTCTTAAATTCATCATAAACTTTATCTTCTACTATGTTTTAAAGAAAATCTGGATATGATAAAACTCTCCCTTGTAACAAATATTATAATATATAATCAAGCATTTGAAGTTAAAAATATATATAATCAAGCATTTGAAGTTAAAAAAGAAATATGTATCTATATAATGGCCTCATTTGGTATAACTGTGGAAAAATGATTATAAATTATAACTTTACAAATTATATATTATAACTTTAAATATAAGCTGTTAATTTGTGTGGTGTAGTTGTGGAATTATAAATTTAATCAACAGAGTAGTATTTGGTTGAATAAGCTGTAAAATAACTTTTTGCTCTGTGATGTCTTTTTTGCCCTTATAAGATTTGTGATTTCATTTATGTATTTCTTTTCTTTATTATTATTCACTACTACAAAAACAGATAAAGATCACATTTTTTTTGTGTGATCTATGTTATTTAATTACACTTTTTAAGTTATGTTAAGGTGTGATCTTTGGGAGTGTGATTAAAAATAGTCATTTTTAATCACACGTTTTAAGTGTGATTAATAACATTTACCTCACATCTTTTAAGTGTGATTAAAAGCTAATAAAACCAGTAAAAATAAACATTTAGATCACATCACTAATAAAACCTGTGATAATAAACATTTAGATCACATATTTTAAGTGTGATTAATTACTAATAAAACTTGTGATAATAAACATTTAAATTGCAGATTTTAAGTGTGATTAATATCTAATAAAACCTGTGACACGTTATATGCATTTCTCATCACAGTTAATGTGTGATAAAAAAAAAGTTCGACATATTTGAAGAATAATCAATATCATTTTTGTACGAGCATTTCAAGAATATAATACACAATGTATACTATATTTTGAATCACAACCACATATTGAATGGAATAACGTCATATATTTCATAAATGAAAGTTAAATGTTTAAAAGTATATACAAAAGAATTAAATAAAAAGTTTTAAATTGTGCTTACATATATTAAAAAATGAAAAAAAAAAAGAAGAAAAAAAAACCTTAAAAAACTAAGTTATTGAATTCTTTGACCATATTTTGCATCTCTCCAAGAAATTTCTGACCTGAAAAATGAAAACACAAACTAATTCAGAAATCGCTAAAAGCATATGAATAAACTGACTGTTCTAGTCTTACAAAAGATAAACTCGGGCCTTTTCTCATCACACTGACTCTTCATCTCCTACATCAATAAAAAAGGAATAACTACTTTGATTGTTACTAGTATAAAATATTTGGATTACCATATAGATATGACATATACATAGAATCAATAAATCCAAAATAAAAATCTTCAATGTATGACCAGATATTTTAAAGTCATAAAACCAAATATACATAAAATCAACAAATCCAAAATGAAATCTTGAACTAATGGTATATATGGTTTACTTTATAATGACTTGGATTTTGCTTTAAACGATCTCAATTCGATGTGAGTACACAATCATTACTTTCATTACACAAAAAGTTAAGATTGTTGTCAGTACATAACACACATGTATATAAAGATGCGTTCATCGAATTACTACCCAAACAAATTCCTTGCATAACACACTTAAATGAGTCCTAAGTTTTCTTTTCTTTTTCAAAATCGAGAACTCATCTAAACACATTTCATACGATAAATTTGAGATTTAATAGTTAGAACATGTAAATCTGGAATAAAAACACAACTCTTGTATCACCATTGACCAATAGGCAACTAGATTAGTCTCCACCTTGCTATTGCAAATGACATTATGGATGATAGTGTACAGCCTTTTATTTTTCAATTTTCTAAGTGAGAAAAAAAAGGTGGTGGAAAACTTCATAGATGCTTCCAAGTTAAAAAAGCCTGCGGATGCCCCCACACATTGTTCTTGAGATTTACTTAATCAACAATCCAGCACGCAAAATAGTATAAGCATGGCATGTAACGCCCTGAAATAATTCAACATAACTCTAATACATCAACTCACATCTGCTAAAATTGTAATAGCAATACTCCAACCATTACACCATTAATTCACTAGATTTATACCAAAGTTCCACATGCGAATTATACATTCAATGATACAAAAAATACATGAATCTATAACATGTAGAGCATCACGTTCCAAAAATAATAAAATACCCTCATGGGCTTACAATTTCAAAGGCTTAAGCCTGGTTACACAAAAATGACCTCTCGGGCCCATACATGAATAGCCCTTGGCTAGCAATTAAATCTACAAAAAAAAATAAAAAAAAAAAAAAAAAAAAAAAAAGAAGCTATCTACTCTTTACAAAATATATTCATGCCTTCAACTCGGCGGAATCACCACATCCTTACCTGCACCAAAATCCTATATGGGTGAGCATAAAGCCCAGTAGAGAATCCTTAACAAAGTATATACATTTATGCAATATTTCCCATGTTAGATGTAATGCCATGCAATGCCATTTTAAAGGAAATTTCATTTACTTACTCTCTTGAAAATCACAATGTTCCAAAAATAATTTGAAGATCTCAACAATTCCAAATCTCACAATTTTATTCAATAGGGGTAGTAAATACGACTCAGGTAATCCCTAGGTTGGTGTCTGCAAGTAGGCTCAACAAGCACTACCAATAACCCTACTTTACCGGTTGCTAACCAGAAGAAAAGTGGTACCTCCTCCGCGCGTGTTTTCGGTCTTTTACCCCGGACACTTAAGGCCAACTTATCAAATTCATCTGCACCTCCTAACTGGACTGACCAACGTATTTACCCCATAACATTTCCATGATTTCAATCCCAATATTTCATTCTCAATGAAAGTTCCAATTTTTTCAAACCAATTTTCATGACATCCAAGGTTTTAGTAATGACAATGCAGCAATTATCCATACTACTTCATGTTTCTCTACGTTGTTCATAACTACAATTAATTTTCCATAAAGGTTAAAAATCTCTGTTTTCTCCTTTCCATGCCCTTCCATTAAATAGCCAAAATTACCATCATTTGCCCATTTGTAACAATGTAACCACAGCTCATACACTTACAACATTTTAATCATTTCAAAACCAATTCATCATGTAGATATCAACATCCAATCTCAACAATTTTCATATGTTAAGAAATTCTCCATCAACATATCTATAACTATTCGTATAAAACAAAACATGTCACATTCCCCTTACCTACCATAGCACATAACAATATATATATATACACACCCACATAATCATCAAACATGAGCCCTCATTTTCGACCCCTGGGCACTCCGGACTTGACCTCGTACTCTCTCGAACAAGTGAAAATCAATCACCGAGGAAACAAGAATAGGAATTTATTTGAGAGGAACCCCCAGACACCACAAACCCAAACGATTAACAAACTCCAAGCCAACCTGACAACCCGACGAGATCACCCAAGATTAAACTTAGGGGAAACGAAACTAATGCCACACCCGATAATCACATGGCAGATACATCATCAAAAAGGCCACGAGCATGACAAAACTAACTAATTTAGAGAAGCAAGAAGCAGACCTGCTTGAAAAAAACATCTTCCGATTCCTCTGAACTTAGCTCTGCAGCCAAGAATATGAGAGCTGAAATTAGTTATACAATGAATTCTTCTATTTTTTTTGACAACATATTGGAGATGCACAAACTATATTTTGAGGCACAAACTAACATGAATCCAACATTGGCAATTCAAACATAGGCAATGCATATCTAGATACAAGGCCTCCGATACTTTATATGCTATAAGTGGCAACAACAAAAGTAACAATGGAAGAAACTAAAATTCAATTAAAAGAAGTTTACTTTAAACAGCTTCTAGATGGAAAGGGCTAACCAAAAATTAAAAGCATGTGATTTAGGAGGAGAACCAACAAATTCTAAGTCAGGATAGAGGTGGTAAATTATAATGGTAGACCACTTATTTGCGATATCTGATGTCCATGCAGAATGAGAGTATTACTTCTATAGAAATACTTAAAAGCAAATGGGCTCATCAAGATAAAATCCAATTCTAGGACAGTGAAAAATTATACCCCCATAACACAGAGGATGCAACAGATTTGTAAGCTACATAGGGGAAGTATGAAATGAACTCTGAAACAATTCCTTTAGTCCATCACAATAGCCTAGCTTAAGAAAAATTTGTAGCCAGACACAAAGTGCAAAAAGGCATTCTGAAAACATAGCGCAAACTAAGAAAATTAAGAATCCCACAACACCATGTGTCACCATAACTAAGATGCTTTAGTTTACTATAAATATGGTATTCTTCAATGTTAGCATTTTCAGTATAAAAGCATAGCATAACAGCAATTAGAAGACCTGTGTGACCATATGCCTCCATAAACATGGGATCACCAAACTCAACCCTCAATAGCACAGATAATTCCTCCTCACACACAGCCTAATATAGGGGCACACCATCACTAAACCCACCTTCCCTAAAAATAGTGGCCAGCTAAGAACCTGCATTAACATATTGTGAGATAAAATAAATTATAGTGTTCCAGTCACTCAACCCACAAGCTCACCCTCTCACTCAATATTTATGGAAAAGCCTCACATAACTCAACCCACATCCCTACAAATTGGCTAGCTCACAAATCAGAGTAACCTGCAAATTAACACCAAATCAGTATCCACACAAAATTCTAGACCACCACCAACTAACCTTGACCCGATTTCAGAACAGAGCTAGGGAGTGAGAACAAAAAAAACTTGACTATATATTTCAGAACAGAGCTAGGGAGCGAGAACAAATCATATTCCCAGGAAAAGCTTTCCTTGTGCACTGACCTTTTTTGGAACTGGATTGTTACATGACTATATATATCTAAAAGAAGATCAAACAAACAACAATTTCTTGGTAACAATCTTTGGATTCTTAATAAAGTAACGACATGGAATTTAATATAATAAAAATGACATTGCAACTTCCAACTGAAAACAAAAGAAATACAAGGATAAAGTAACAACCACGCTGCGTTCATGAAATGAATATAAAAAGTCTCTATATGATTGAGAGCGTTTACCAATGACAACAAAGAATAAGAAGAAACAACAAAGGAGTGAGAACAAATAAAACTTGAAGCCCCAATTCAAATATGATACGAAGAACCAAAAAGACAAAAAAAATAAATTAAAACAATGTTCCTTTCAGCTTATTCCAACCATTTGTCCAAGCTGAGATCGTTCTTTCATCATTTAGAAACCAATAATAACACATAAAACACAACATCAAATAATTTTAATTTCCTATTTCTCCCTACCTCCTTCCCCTCTCTCTCTCTCTCTCTCTCTCTCTCTCTCTCTCTCTCTTTTCCTTTTGGGAGAGGAGGTATGGATAGGTTCTTCAGTTTTCCCAGCCACCAAACAGAACATTATCATAGAAATAAAGAATGGAAATTGAATGATTAAAAGCAAATTCAAACAACTAGAGGGTTCAATGAGACAATTAATAGGTCACATTGACAATAAGAAGAAACAAAGAAAAACCAGCTTCACAAACACAGAAGAACAAAAAAAAAATAAAAAATAAAAACCCAAAATTATTACTGCTTGAATTCGTTAAAAAAAAAAGAAGAAAAAATCAAAAGAGTCAACAAATCTACCTCAAAAACTTACCAATTTCAAGCTTTCTATTGTTTGAAAATAATAAATAAATAAAGAGGAAGGACCCAAAACAATTATCAAACATCAAAACAACCCTAACCCTTCAATTTGAATACAGAGAAAAGCAATAACAAGATGAAAAAATTCAAAATTTTTATTTTCCTTCACCAACATTTCCAAGCAATAAAAATACACAATAAACCAAGAACTCAAAAACCATTCAAAAATACCGGCTCAAAATATTCGAAAAATGCGAATACATAAATCCAATAAACCGAACAAAATGCATAATATTTTAGTTGATCAATCAATTAAACAAAAATAAACAAAAAATCAAACCTTTCCGCTAAGATAAATCGTTTTCATATCAACTGAAATGAAATCGCTTGAGTCAACAAAGCATATGCATTTTCCTTTACAGTTAGAGAGAGAGAGAGAGAGAAAGAGAGAGAGAGAGGGAGAGAGAGAGAAACTCACCACGCCGGAGAACCACCGTGGTAAGCGCCGACAGAGAAAACCCTAGAGATTGAAATTAGGTAAAGAGAGACAGAAAGAGAGAGCAGAGGCGTCAGAGAGAGAGAGACAATCATGGAGTGAGAGATAGACAGACACAATCATGGAGTGAGAGATAGCATCTGTGTGAGCGTTTTTTTAAATATACATAATCACACTTATTTAAAATGTGTGAACAAAAATTTTTTATCTCACTTTTAATAACATTTTTAATAAAAATAAAATATTTTTAATTTTTCTTATGTGATCTTTAATTATATGTTAATTAGAAAGTGTGATTAATATATATATATATATATATAATCATACTTAATTGAAAAGTGAAATAAAAAATAAATATTATCACACTCAATCAAATTAAGTGATAAAAATATCAATCTAATTTTTTTTTATCACACTTCCAATAAAGGTGAGATATATATTTTTTTCAAAGTGTGATCTTTAACTATTTTTGTAGTAGTGCATATAAAAAAAATAGAAAAACACATGTTTTTTCAACCAAAGATTAATTTGGTAGATGACACATTTCTTATAAAGTCTGATGTTTGAACTTGATGCTTGAACACAGCCTCTTCTCATCCACCGCCTATAGCCCATTCTTCTTCTCCTCATTCTCACCCACTGCTAGCATCTCCTTCTTCTTTTCCTCCTCCTCATCTCACCATTGGCAGCCCCTTGCAAGTCGCAATCGTAAAGAGAGAAAGCTAGGATTTTGTCACGGCGTCGATCGCAAAGAGGGAGAGAGAGCTAGGGTTTTTCATACTGTCGATCGCAGAGAGAGAGAGAGGCAGAGAGAGAGAGAGAGCTCTGGTTCGCCGAAAATCACCTCCCTTCACCAGAAATCGCCTCTTTGGGTCATGCGAGAGACAAAAATGAGTGTGTTTGGTTTATATACATGGCACACTTGTAATAACTTGAAATTGTGAGGGCTATTTAAGTCATTTTGCCCCTCAAATTCTGCACTTATGCTAAGTCCGAAAAGCACCTCCTCCCCTATTAAAAGAATAATCACCTTTTTGACAAAATTTAAGTTAAAAGCTGATCACGTGAGCTATACTAAGCACACAAAAATCAGTTAACTTAGACTAAAAACCGAAATAAGTTGAATTTAAACTCTACCAAACACCCATAATGAGAAGTTAAAAGAAGATTGTACACCAGAGTAGTTAAAACATTAAATGATTAAATTCTTGTGGGCATATTGTTGTGCTGCTACCATTTCGTCATCGTAAAGCCACCCGATTCACAAACTGTAGTCATGGAAACTTACACCATCCTACTACGGATTCAATGTCTCCCTTGCATTAATTGCTTCTACCAATTAGTCATCATGTTTGATCTGCATCGACATACATTACTTATTGTGTTTCTGACACCTTTAATCTATGAAAGGGCTCGGGTTTATTTCTAATATTATGTTTGGTGTGATGGTTTAAATGTATGTAAGCAAAATAATAGTTTTGCATTGGCTTAGCAAGTGGGATTGTTGTCCACGTAAGAACTGTATTGGAAGTGCAAGTTTTTGCAAGGGTAACATTGCATCCAAATTAGACTACTGCTTCTATGAGGAAATGCAAATGTTTGCAGTGTGGGTTACTACTATAATGACGCTAATTAGATTCAAGAAAGCTATTATATATTATATATATAGTGGCAGGCTTTGAAAGAATTCACTGTCATGGTTCATAAAAATGTTATTTTCGTGTGAAGTGAAATAGGAGAGGAATTAGGATTTATGCTTAGGGGTTAAGGTGTAAGTATAAAAAAATGTTAGGCGAAACTTATTTTATCTCATTGTGGTATGACTTGATAATATTTTATCTCATTTCTTTAAAAAAAATAGTCATATGCCACTTATGTGGTTTTGGACAAAAATACAACTCTTAATATCATTAATTATATATGTGAAATGACTGTAATACTCTCAAACCCAATATTTTTTTGTTATTTTCTTTCCCTTTTATCTCTCATGCACATAATTTATATATTTAGTATAAATTCAATTAAATTGCAGTTAATTATAAATTCTTAATTATTTGTTGTAATTATTAAATTTGTACTCTAATTCTAGTTTTAATTTAATTATATTTTACATCACAATTAATCTTAAATATTCAACTATTTATTGTAAATGTTGACTTTTTAATTCAATTTTAATTTAATTATATTTTATATCCCAATTAATCTTAAATTCTTAATTATTTATTATAATTTCTAACATGTTATTTTATTTTTAATTTAATCACATTTTAAATCAATTCTTAATTATTGTTTATTTTATATTTTATTTAATTATATTTTAAATCAATTCTTAATTATATTTTAGTTTAATTTATTTTATTTTAATTAACATATAAATCTAATTTTAAGTTTGAAGAAATGAGGCCAAAATTGTGCTTTTGTTGTATTAATTTCATTCTAATTTTTTAGAAAACAAAACCTACTCTAAAAAATGGTGTGGGTAATACACATTTCATTAATTTGGATGAAAAAACTAATGGTAACACTTTAGTCCAAAATCGCAAGGGGGCTTTCTGGCTATATTTAAATGATGGGAGGTAAAATGCTTCAGTTTCAAACCATAAGAAGGTGAAATGAATTTAATCCAAAAATATTTAATTTTGGTACATTACTAATAGAAGATAATTTCTCATGTAAGAATTTTGAAAAAACAATAATTTATGAGGACAAAAATAAATCTACAAATCTCTTCTTCTTATAAATTATTTTCTAAAGTTTTGAATTATTAATAAAACTAAATTGTTGGTTGACAATACCTATTAAATAAAAAGTATACATAGTGTTTTGGTGTGCAAGATCCATACTATATGCACTTGCGTAAGTTCTCACAAATATATATATATAAATTACCTTACAAAATCGCATAAGTTCCTACAAATATACGTAAGTTGTAAATTCTCAAATTTTTATGAGTTAACTTACTTTTGTTTGTGGAAACTTATGTGATTTTGTAAATTAACTTACGTATGTTTGTAAAAATTTATATATACTTACACACTTAAGAATTGCCCATGTGTTCTTTGATTTTTTGAAACAAAAAACCAAAAGTTTGTGGCATACACCTCTTCTATATATATATATATATAAAGAGACTAGAATATATTGATGCTATTAAAATGCAAGAGAAACAGTTAAAAATCACATCATTATACATCGCGAAAAATTAAAGAAATAGATAGTTGATAAAATGATTTTCAAAAAAATTAGAGGTAATCTTAATATATATTTTATAAATATCATAAAATATAGAGGTACCAGTGGCATCCCCCATTCCCCAACCCAACTAGTTCCGCCCCTGAAGAGAGAGCAGTTTAAAGTTAGTTGAGATGAAATAAAGTGCATGACAACCTAACTAGTTAGGTCACGAAATTAATATGATGAAATTATAGTATGATTTGATTACTGTTAGTTAAGCTGCAAGAAAGTACATGAGAACTTAATCAGTTTATTCACCCAAACAAAGAGAACTTAATCAGTTAGATCACGAAATTAATATGATCAAATTGTAGTATGATTTAATTGCTAAAAAATAAAAAAAAAAATAGAAAAAGTCAATAATAAAATTTATGCTATTGGAACTCTAAAAACAAATTGAGTGTGTGAACACTTTTTTCACTAAAAAATTAAATGAAACAAATCAATTAAATGATCCACAACTTGCAACGATTTGTGATTCTTTAGGCTTGAAGCTCATGACTAGGTTAGTCATTCTTTAGGCATATGAACTTCATGAGCTTTCATGATTAGTTTAGTCGTTCTTTGGACATGAACTTGATGAGTAGGGTAGTCATTCTATAGGTATATGAATTTCATGAGTATAGTCACGCTGAATATCATGGAAATTAGGTATGAACCAAAACTTTTTATTCTAAAAGGACGCAGGGGAGTCTAAGAACACTGAAAAGGATCAAGATCTTCAAAATAAATAAATAAATTCTCAAAGGAAAAGCTTCTCCATGGCATTTACTGAAACAATAAACAGAAATGAAAAACAAAATAGTCCATTCAAAAGTGATTGGTGAACCATTTTATATTTTTTTGTGAGATAAAATTATATTATTTTATAATTTAGGTTATAATTTTTTGAGGTATTCTTACAAATTTTATTGCTTTAATTGGGGGTTGGTAGACAAAGAAAATTAGGGAATGTGTGCAAACCTGGTGATGCTACATCCCACCATTTTTATGACTTTTAATGGTGCAATAATAACTAGGCACAATTATGTGACGATCACGTTGAATAAAATAATACTTTTTTTTATAGATGGTGTTGACTTTTTAAAATAATAATCACAATAGTAATATTTGCAATTAAAATAGAAAACACAGATTGTTTAGAAAATTATCTTAAGATATTATCATTCCATACCCACCATGCTTCGTCTACAGCGAATACTTTTAAAGCCTTTCAATGAGTAGATAGAAAGAGTAATCTTTCACTCTAGGTGACTATTACTTTGCTTGTATCACCGCTCTTAAACCTTTAAAAAAAATTAAAACACAGTAGACAAAGTGTATATGGAAATGGAAAACTTTTATTGAATACTTGAAAAAGCTACAAAGATTACAAGAAAGATGGAGAGAATACTCTTTCTCATTTATAAGACTTTGCTTCTTGACGCTACTTGTACAACATACAACCACACCCTTTTCATTCAGGAATGCACAGTCTAAATTGTAAATGTCCCGGGTCTTAGACTTGACCCGTATTGCGTAGTCAGATGGTTTGTTTTACTTTCGACATTTTGATTATCGTATTAGATCTCCGCTCTTACTTAAACTCTCTTCATGTTTCCATGTTAAAATTTTAAGTTTTGGACGCTAGAACTTGTATCGAAAGTGGAATCAAATTTTTGGCTTTGGATGGCAGAATCGCTTGTGCGGATTTGGTAACCAACCGAACGGAATCACTAAGATAATTTGGGAATTTTGGTAGAAAAACCACTCAAGCAAATTTGGTTGAAATTCTGGATTTTTCTTTGGCTCAAACCGTGTGAGAGGAGTGTAAATCCGCTCGTGCAGATTTAGATTTTCGCTCGTGTGGAATTCGAACCACTCATGCAGTTTCTGATACGTCTATCTCGAATGTTAAGCTTTTTTCC